CAACTGGTTGATGCATTAGCTCGAGCTTTGGAATTCGAGGCGGCAAAGCAGAGCTGTAGGAGCCAGCCTAGAATAAGGAGAGTCGAGGAAGAGAAAGAGGAGGAACCCAGAATAATTGAAGCAATCAGGCGAGTTATTAAAGAAAACCTACCAGAGAAGAAGGAAATCCGGTGTTGGAGATGTGGAAGGCTAGGACATATACGAAGTCGTTGCAGAGAAAGCCAGGTGGCGCTGACTTCGTCTCAGTCGGAAAACTAGATAAGGTCGAGGAAAAGGGGCCACCGTCGACCTGTAACCAGCATGCCCCAGAAGATATCGAACGTGTTGCATCTCTTCTACACCAGTCCAGCAGTGTTTTTGTGGATGGTTTTATTAATGGAAAATTACATGTGCTGCTGCTGGATACAGGTGCGACGAAGACAATTATTAGGCCAGATATTGTCGAAATGTCCAAGGTCAAATCTACTAATCGGCGACTACGTACTGCAACAGGAGATATTGCTACTGTTCGTGGAGAAGTGGACATCACGATGGTCATAGGAAACACGAAATTTAAACATCGAGCATTAGTAGCAGATATTGAAGATGAAGTTATTGTAGGCATGGACATTATGAACTCTATAGGATTTGAACTGAACTTTAAGCAAGGAATATTGAGGGTAAATGGAGAGGAAGTCGTGTTGCATCGATCTAAAGAGAAGAATATTCGTGTAATGCTAACAGAAGATGCTTTGATACCGGAAAACAGCGAGATGATATTGAAGGCTTTCTTGGATTGTAAATCAGAAGATGGAAGTATAATGCTTCTGGAGCCGAGAATTGATGACAAAGAGGTCGGTCGAGGAATTGTAGTAGGAAAGACTTTAATACGTGTCGGAAAAGAAGTGCCTGTAAGAGTATTGAATGTTAATGGTTACTCTGTGAACTTAAAGAAAGGAATCGTTTTGGGAAACTGTTCTTCAGTTTCCTCGATTATTAGAGGCATTCGTGAGTCAGCAGTTCCGGCCAAGAAAGTTAGCAATGAATTGATGAATCTTCTGTCGACTTCTTCAAAGGATTTAAAACCCAATGAAAGGATAAAGCTGAAAGAGCTGATTCACAATTATCAGGATGTCTTTGACGATGGACAAGAAAAGAAGGGTAGGACAAGAATTGTCCAGCATAAAATTAACACCGGTGATGCACAGCCCATTCGACAGTCGGCAAGAAGGCTACCACTTGCCAAGCGAGAGGAAGCTGATAAAATTGTGCAAGAAATGGAGAAGGAAGGGGTGATCGAACCATCCAACAGCCCATGGTCTTCCCCAGTGGTGTTAGTTAAGAAAAAGGATGGATCAACTCGATTTTGCGTCGATTTTCGTCAGCTGAACAACGTGACGAAGAAGGACAGCTACCCTCTATCTAGGATCGATGACACCCTGGATACATTAGCTGGATCGCAGATATTTTCAAGTTTGGATTTAAAGAGCGGTTATTGGCAAGTTGAAATGGCACCAGAAGATAGAGAGAAGACGGCGTTTACCGTGGGTGCAGGACTGTGGCAGTTTACTGTCATGCCGTTTGGACTATGTAATGCCCCTGCAACTTTTGAAAGGCTTATGGAAATGGTTTTGAAGGGACTATCCTGGAAGACATGCTTGGTGTACCTTGACGACATCATTGTGGTTGGGAAATCATTTGAGGACCATATGAAGAACCTGAAGGAAGTCTTTCAGCGCTTAAGAAGTTCCGGCCTGAAGCTAAGCCCGAAGAAATGTCACTTGTTCCAGAGGGAAGTGCAGTATTTGGGCCATGTTGTTTCGAGTCAAGGAGTGGCAGTGGACAAACAGAAGGTGAAGACGGTGCGGGAATGGCCAATACCGAAGAATAAACAACTTAAGAAGCTTTCTTGGATTATGCACCTACTACCGTCGGTACGTACCAGGATTCGCAAAGGTTGCTAAGCCTTTGACACGTTTAACAGAGGGAGAAAGACGATTCCAATGGGACGACGAATGCCAGGAAGCCTTTAAGAACCTGAAAAACGCGTTGACCAGCTCACCAGTCCTAAGTTATCCTCTTCCGGATGGTGAATTTATTTTGGACACGGACGCCAGCAATGTGGGCCTGGGAGCTGTTTTGTCGCAGATTCAAGAAGGAAAAGAGAAAGTTATTGGATACTTCAGTAAAACTCTATCGAAACCAGAGCGAAATTACTGTGTTACTCGACGCGAGCTGTTGGCAGTGGTAAAATCAGTCGAACACTTTTACAAGTATCTGTATGGAAGAAAATTCTTGCTAAGAACGGATCATGCTGCCCTAAAATGGCTTTTGCAATTCAAGAATCCTGAAGGACAGGTAGCAAGATGGATTGAGAGACTACAGGAGTACGACTTTGACACAGAACATCGGGCTGGGACCATCCATAGAAATGCTGACGCCTTGTCAAGAAGACCGTGCCCGGAAGACTGTAAACATTGTCTCAGGGCCGAAGAAAAGGATGTGTTTGTTCGCAGAACTACAATCGTGGATGATCATTTGCAATCCGCTGAGGTTCAACAAGACCAGGAAAGGGATCCGGATTTGAAGCTTATCATCGATTGGAAGAAGAACGACCGTAAACCAACGTGGCAGGAAGTCGCCCAATATTCGCCGAATGTGAAATCGTACTGGGCCCAATGGAATTCCATCATCCTAAGTGACGGGCTTCTAAAGCGCGTTTTGGAGATGCCAGAAGGGGGGGAAGACCGGAAGCAGATAATAATCCCCAGAAACAGGATACCAGAAGTGCTGCAGGAAATCCATGATGGAACTACTGGAGGACATCTTGGGGTGACCAGGACGCTCGGAAGACTTAGAGAACGGTTATTGGGTCAACAGCCAACGGGATGTGAAGGAATGGCGCAAGAAGTGCGCCGTTTGCGCGGCAAGCAATGGACCCCAGAAGCGCCCAAAAGCCCCAATGCGACAGTACAATGTGGGCAGCCCATTTGAGAGAATTGCAATCGACGTGGCGGGTCCATTTCCGGAAACAGAATCTGGAAATAAATACATCATCGTTATAATGGACTACTTCAGTAAGTGGGCAGAAGCGTACGCCTTGCCAAACCAGGAAGCTGCCACAGTGGCCGATGCTTTTATCAAGGAGTGGATTTGTCGTTTTGGTGTGCCAATGGAGATGCATTCAGACCAAGGCAGAAACTTTGAATCTATATTGTTCCAGAATGTCTGTAAGATTCTTAACATTCGAAAGACGAGGACGACTGCATTACATCCGCAGTCCGATGGAATGGTAGAACGAATGAATCGAACGATAAACCGGTACCTGTCCAAGGTAGTCTCTGATCACCAAAGAGACTGGGACCGCTTTCTTCATCTGTTCCTGTTGGCGTACCGTTCTTCTATCCACGATACAACCGGCCAGACACCCGCTAGCATTGTTATGGGACGTGAACTTCGTCTACCTTGTGACCTGAGATTTGGTTGCCTACCAGGGGATGATATTGCTGGAGAAGATTACGTCAACAATTTACGTAGGAAAATGAGCGACATTCACAGCCGAGTTCGTTTAAACATCCAGAGTGCCAGTGATAGAATGAAAGAGGCATACGACATCAAGGCGGAAAATGGAGGATTTCAACCTGGAGACCTAGTTTGGTTATACAACCCTCAACGCCGTCGTGGTTATTCACCGAAGCTGCAGACTTCTTGGGAAGGACCATACAAAGTCATGGATCGAATAAATGACATCATCTACAGGATCAGAAAACAACCAAGAGGAAAGCCGAAAGTGATCCATTTTAACCGATTGGCTCCTTACGCTGGAAACAATGATGACCAAATTAACCATGCTAGAGTAAGGCGAGTTAATCCTCCGGAAGACGAGTTGCTTTTTGAAGACTTCATGTATTTATATTAGAGCGGTAAAAAAGCTCGCTATGGTGTCACTCGAGAAGAACAACAAGATCTATTCACGGTTTCGGCCGATTACTCCTTGGCTCACTGTGTTGCAGAAGACCTAAGGATGTCCAGGGGAATAGCGGTTGTTTTTAAAAACAAGTTTGGACGGATCGACGAGCTACGAAGGCAGAATCCCAAAGTTGGAGAGGTGCTTGAAATTGTGGAAAATAAGCAGATAGGTAACAGGAGTATCTTCTATCTGGTAACGAAGCAGCTCTCCTATCAGAAGCCAAACTACCGTGACCTATGGAATGCCTTATATAAATTGAGGGATACCCTTTTGTCCAAGGACATCATGAACCTGGCGATACCGAAGATTGCTTGTGGACTTGACGGTTTGGACTGGAGAATAATGGTGGAAGTTATCTTCAGATTTAGTGGCATACACATTCTTGTCTGTTGCCACAACCCTAAAAGAACAACCGGAAGGAAGACCGTAGACTGCTACTTCTATAGGAGGTCACAATGCAAGTTTGGATCTCTATGCAAATATCGCCATGGAGCTGAGGACCATTTTCGGAACGAAAATGTTTTAAGACGGGGGCAATGTAGCGAGTTCGGCTCTGGATCTCGGAATGATGACTCATCGCCGATGAGTCATCGCCGGTGACTCAGCGCTCGAATAATCGAGAGTGTGGAGCTCGCTGGAATGTTCCAAAAGACTTGGGCGCGGAATATATAAGAAACGGAGCAGCACAGAGCAGGCAGTTGAGCTTTGGTACTCGCGAAGAAATAAATAAATATAAGTGCAAATAAATAAACTAGTAGTGATATAAATAATTAGTAGTTAAGTGTTTAGTTAGTTTTATAGTGTTTTAAGTGTAGTTAAGTTATTAAATAAATAGTTAAGTTCGTTAATTAACCAGTGCGTGTTTTTATTCACACTACGAACAGTTTAAAAACGTTACAATAGAATAAAACTTTTGTTCGGTTATCTTCAATTTGGTTTTTTTCTTCAATGTGTTTTCAGAAAAATGTAGGAAAAATATTTATAATGTGATTTTAAAAGTGGAGATGGCAGATGATATTTTATAAAAATTATTATGACAATATTCAATTACCTTTATTTGGGCTCATATTAAGATAAAATTGAGATGAAGATGAATCTCCTACATCTAATGGGCCATTTGGACGTTGCGTAAGTGTAACATATGACTGATCCGGTATCTGCGGTAGGGGTCTGTTTAAAATAGAATTTAACGAAGTCTTGTTATAAGAATGAATTTGATGTTTTAAATCCAGTGGCAATTTAGGAAGATTTACTATGGGATTTCTTGGTACTTCCGGTTCCCATTCGATTTCACATTCATAAATGTCATTATCTGGAGTTGGGGGTAGGTGTTTATGTTTAATGCTGATTTGTTTTGGGTTTTCAGTTGGTATTGGCGGCAATTTTCTTCCTAAAAATGAGTTTTTTAAAATTTAAAACCAGGGGAAAAATAAAGAGTATATAAAACAAGTGAGATAGCTCGTTTCGTCATATAGGTGTGGTTATAAGTAGTGATGGGCGTTCCGGGTCACTCTTTTGAACCGGATCACTAGATCTGGATCACATAAGTGAACCGGTTCAACGAACCGGTTCAAAAGAACCGTTTGAATCTCAGACTAATTAAAAATAACACTTAATGAAATCATTCGGAGCACATAAACTTATGTTAAAAATGTTTATCACTTTAATACTTAAGAGCCTTTATTAAATTATAAGGCAATACAAATTGTTATTTTAATAATATTATAAAGGCTATTAAATATTACATTGTATTTTATTAAAGTTTTGTTATACCATACTATTTATTTTATTAAAATTTTATAAAACAATAAAAACTAATATTTTAGCGCGAGTCGTTCTTAGCTCCAGGTAGCCGGTTCAGATCTCTCCCGACCCGCCGCTCACGGCTCGAGCGGCTCGCCATGCGCGGCCTGTTCAATGCACTGCAGCAGCATAGCGAGTCCCTCGCTGCGAGTGGTGAAGCAGTGAAGTCTTTTATCTATGAGTGAATCGGAGCTTAGAACGGCTTGCGCGCGGCCGCTTTGTAATTTCGGACCCGTGAGCCGGTTCGTTTAATTTTCGTGAACCGGTTCACGTAGATCACTTATAAGACCCGGTTCACTGAGCCGGTTCAGATCTGACCGACACATCTCTAGTTATAAGTATAGTAGAATTCATTTAAGATAATATTATATTCCAAAAGTGATGCTTGCAAGCAGGGTAGCAGGTTACTTACTCGATCCCTTACCTCATGGGGCCAGTAATTTTACGAAGAGTCAAAGTAATCGGAGAACGCCAGGTTTACTTATCCGGGTGACAGATAATTTAACCTACTTACTATAATTTAGGGTTAAAAATATTGTATTGTCAATAAAATATTAGAAACTCCAAAAAAATTAGACTAACAATTTTGGATACCATGAGTACCTAGTTACTAATAGTTAGGTATAACGTTGTTTACTAAGGCTATAAATCAACATATTTTGTGCTTATTAGTATAACACAGGGTATTCTTCTATGTGTATACTTCCATGGGTATTTTAAGAGCTACAATGTCTGTATGAAAATATTTTTAAAGCTCTTTTATTTAATAATGAAAAAACGTTCGAAAAATAACTTTTAGGGTAATTTTTTTTAAGTAAATAAAAAATATGCTGTTAAAGACCGTATTTTTGTTAGTATACCCTGAAAATTTTGTACAAATTAAACGAAAAGTAACGAAGATACAGCGCTTCAAAGTCGGTAAAAATTGCCCCTTTTTGATTATTTTGGTCATTTTTGACGACTTTGAATCGCTGTATCTTCGTTGCTCTTTATTTGATTTGTACAAAATTTTTAGAGTATACTAACAAAAATACGGTCTTTAACAGCATATTTTTTATTTACTTAAAAAAAATTACCCTAAAAGTTTTTTTTCGAACGTTTTTTCATTATTTAATAAAAGGGCTTTAAAAATATTTTCTCGAAAAACACATTTTATATAAGAAACTGCAATGATCATTGTCATAAGTTACTTTGATACAGAGGTATAAAATTCCAAACATAAAATTATTTTTTCCCATGTTAATTAAATGGGAAACTAAAATAAAAACAGCGACCTCTTAGAGTTGAGCTGAGACGCCCATAGAGAGGGTAAGAGCGAAAAAAAAATTAAATTTTATTTTTTGAAGCACCCCAATATATATATTAGGGTGATTCATTTCCGCAAAGTTTTTGTTTTTTTTCGGTGCTCAAGCAAAATATTAATCTACCTATAGAAAAAAAAAATTTCACCAAGGTAGAGCTCTTAATATCAATTTTAAGTACTTGCAGTTTAAATTTAAAGTTTTCCCATTTAAAATGCATGTAAAAAAATGGTTTTTTTTTCAAATTTCTAATGCTTACCCACCTTTGACAATATTGCAAATCGGTTTAATACACCTTATGGGGAATTTCACGCTCTTTAAAATTGCTTTTGAGTTTTTTTTTGTAACTCGCATTGGTTCACCAGTAGGAGTCGTCAAAGGACAGTTTTTGAAAAAAATTTTTTTTTTTTTTATTTTTTCGAGCAAATTGCCAAAAGTAGTGAGAAAAAAGGGCTGATTCATAAAAAAAAAGTTATCCAACCAATATTTAATGAATTTACTGCCATTTTTATAACTGAAAACGTAAGAAATTGATAAATACCAACCTATAATGTTATTTAGATTGATTTTTTCTATTTATTATCATTATATTTCCCTCACTTATAATGAATATGAAAACAACACATAAATTCATAAAAAAACAATAAAACTTTAATCGGAATATACAGAAGGTTATGTAACATATTTCAAATTTCGCTTCAAAAAATTAAATAATCTTCATTTATATTTTTTTGCTATTTTTTTATGAATTTATCTGTTGTTTTCATATTCATTATAAGTGAGAAATTAATAATTTTAAAAAACTTCTTAGTGTAGGGAAATATAATGATAATAAATAGAAAAAATCAATCTAAATAACATTATGAGTTGGTAATTATCAATTTCTTACGTTTTCAGTTATAAAAATGGCTGTAAATTCATTAAATATTGGTTGGATAACTTTTTTTTTATGATTCAGCCCTTTTTTCTTCCTACTTTTTGCGGTTTGTTAGAAAAAAATTAAAAAAAAAAACGATTTTTTTCAAAAACTGTCCTTTGACGACTCCTACTGGTGAACCAATGCGAGTTACAAAAAAAAACTCAAAAGCAATTTTAAAGAGCGTGAAATTCCCCATAAGGTGTATTAAACCGATTTGCAATATTGTCAAAGGTGGATAAGCATTAGAAATTTGAAAAAAAAACATTTTTTTTACATGCATTTTAAATGGGAAAACTTTAAATTTAAACTGCAAGTACTTAAAATTGATATTAAGAGCTCAAACTTGTTGATAATTTTTTTTTCTATATGCAGATTAATATTTTGCTTGAGCACCGAAGAAAACAAAAACTTTTCTCCCTACTTTTTGCGGTTTGTTAAAAAAAAATTAAAAAAAAAAACGATTTTTTTCAAAAACTGTCTTTTGACGACTCCTACTGGTGAACCAATGCGAGTTACAAAAAAAACCTCAAAAGCAATTTTAAAGAGCGTGGAATTCCCCATAAGGTGTATTAAACCGATTTGCAATATTGTCAAAGGTGGATAAGCATTAGAAATTTGAAAAAAAAACATTTTTTTTACATGCATTTTAAATGGGAAAACTTTAAATTTAAACTGCAAGTACTTAAAATTGATATTAAGAGCTCAAACTTGTTGAGAATTTTTTTTTCTATATGCAGATTAATATTTTGCTTGAGCACCGAAGAAAACAAAAACTTTGCGGAAATGAATCACCCTAATATATATACATATTAGGGTGGCCCAAAAAATAAGAATATTTTTTTTCTCTTGTCTCTTGTGAAAATATGCAGTACCGTCTTGATGCTCGAAGAGGTCGGATGCGTCAAGATCCTAAGTGGCGTATACGATACAAACGTAAAATGCCAAAAGCGAAACGAAGTGTCCGGAAATGTCGGTGATCGTTAATGAATAATAAATAATAAATAAATACATAAATAAACAAGAAGTGCGAAAATTGTGAGATAACGCCGTAAAGGTGTGCAAGTGAATAAGTGCCTGATTGAGGCTGGGCAGCAACGATAAGTCAACCGGCGCACCTGGATCGGAGCGTTCCAAAAACGTCCTTTTTCTATGCAAAAACCTACAGGAGAGGGACTCCCCGCGAAGGACAAAGCATCAGGTTTATAGCCTAATAATCAAGCTAAGTAATTCTTCTAATTGCATGTCTTACCGTATAATCGTTAAATGTTTATATAAGCATTTCACAAAGTTGCAAAGAATCTAAGAAATCTATTCGTCTTAAAAATTAAATTTAAAAAATAATAAGAACATTTCCGTAACTGTTAAATAACAACCTATTTTCTCATGGCAGACAAACGTAAACAACCAGCGTAAAAGGCGTAAGCAAATAAACCAATTCAAGCAAGAAGACAAAAATTTATCATAAATAAATTTAGGGTCACACTCATAAATCAAGCCAGGCTAATACACGGAATTCAAGAGCCAAGCAGGCCATAAAGACGCATTCCACTATGCACTACAGGGCCGGCTCTATTTTGAAGATCGATTTACATAAAGTGATTAATTAATTAATTAATAATTTAATTGATTGATTGATATTGATATAATCATATTGGTATTGGTATTGATGGTAATATTGTTGGTATAAGTGTTGATGTTGATATTGGCATTATAGATATTGATATTAGTATTAATATTGATTGATTAATTGGTTGATACTGATATTAACGTTAATATTGATTAATTGATTGATTGGTTGATATTGGTATTGATTATTTGTATTATTTGGTATTAGTATTGGTTGTTGGGATACGAAGAACTAACACTTTGACTCGTAAGATCGTTTATTGTAAATAAGTTTTACATAATAATTAAATGAATAATAAATATTCGAGAAGTTAAATCTTAAGTTAAGTGAGTGAAAAGTAAGTAGTAAGTGTTCTTTTGGTTTCTAAAAATGAGCTTTTATACAGCGCGATAATTTTTATCAGTTAATGGAAAAATAGAAGCGCTGTCTTTGAAATTATGAAATATCTAATGATGCGTAATAATTACTTGAACTATTTGAACTTTTTATTAATTTAATTTATGGACTTATTTTTTGTAACCCTAAAGATCACGACTAAAAGATTATTTAATATACATTAGAAAAACAAACTGTTACCAAATAAATATACAGGGTCTAACAAACCTCCCCCGTTAAGTGTTTCGATAAGGGTTAAAAATCCTATTGAAACACTAAATGATAAAATTAAATTATACAATCTAAAACTTATAAAACACTAAGTAAACTACAAAGATACAATTAAAATTTAAAGTGTACAATAT